ATATTTATAAATAAATAATATATAGCTGTGATTTAGGTATTATATATGAATGAAATTCATATATCTAGGAAAAGTTTTTTCAAGGTTATAAATGGAAGTTAGGAGCCCAAGTATCATTCGGTGTTCAAGAGACTTGATACTCCTCAGAATCTTGCATTTGTACTGTAGATCTGTAAAGGCTGTATGCACATGGACACATACATAAGCACAAGAACATAGGGTAATGTATATGAACTCTCTGTGGAAGGTACTAATTTTAATGGATTTATTTGAATTCCATTATTGTGCATTTTTGGATGAATAAATATAGGACATCTCAAATGCAAACTTGTAATTACTTCTGCTTGGTTTTCCTTAGAATTTATACCGGTCTGACATGAACTTTATGCGAGGAGTTGGATGTATTACTCCAGGGGCCCTAGAGATTGAAGGAAAGAAGAAAGCTTCTGAACTCATCAGCGAGGTAACAAAAGAGGGTTTTGATTTCTCCACTACAAACAAGAGTTTGCCAGATGTCTTTCTATTAAACTGGGCTGGCAAAGTGACTCACTGGATAATGCTAGGCTCCCTCCCCTTGCATTTGATCATTCCATTCATGTCCTAAGTGCAGATGGGTAAGCCTGATGGAGTTCAAGGTTTTGCAGACTTTGCTAACTGTTTTCACAAATCTTTTCTCCTGTGTTTCAGACCCAGGAGGCTGGTTTTTATGTTATTTATTTTAGATTTAAAATGGGCTTTTTCAACTAAAAAGAAGGTTGTGACTATCTCTAATAAGTACCTTGTATCGTTTCTCCAAATTTAGACTGACCTGTGGAGTGCCCAGTACATTACACTGTCCTCAGCTCTGCTCCTGCTTTACACTCTTAGTCTGTTTTTCACTTGCTGCCTTCTTGTGCTGTTGGTTTTCCCCCATCTGTAACTGGATTCTTGTGTTTTCTTACAGTCTCTGCTAGTTTCAAATCTTGGATCTATTGTCCATATTCACATAGATGTGAAGTAAAGAAAAAAAGAGTGCTCTTCCTAGTTGTATTCTAGTCGATGGATCCCTGCTTGCAGTGATCTTGCAGTTATTTTGTTCACAATTCTGGCATAGCACCACAGGCCAGGTGGAACCTCATTTTTCCCACAAAAAG